CCATCCATCCATCCATCCATCCATCCCGTTCCATTTATTCCTACTTCCACCAATTCATCCACCCAAGTCACCTTTGCTCAACCAGTAGTTTCCTTAAAGCTGCGCACAGTAATTACATTTTGCGATTGGTGTATTTCAGGTCAGTTCATCTGGTAATGTTCTACGTAGTGAAATCAACGGCACAGTCAAAATGAGGTGTTACTTGTCAGGAATGCCAGAACTGAGGCTGGGACTGAACGACAAGGTCTTGTTTGAAAGCACAGGAAGTAAGTAGAATGGATGGATGGATGGATGTGTGGATGGACGGACGGACAGTGGACGGACGGACAGACGGAGTTGCCAATCGGCAGGCAGAGAAAGGGATAGGCAGACAGATGGAAAGAACAATGAATGAATGAAGAAAGCAAGTTGACTAATTGTGTTAATTATTCAGGAGGAAAAAGTAAAGCAGTTGAGCTGGAGGATGTCAAATTCCATCAGTGTGTGCGTCTGTCCAGGTTTGAAAATGACCGTACTATCTCTTACATTCCACCTGATGGAGAGTTTGAGCTGATGTCATATCGTCTAAATACCCATGTAAGTGAACATGATCTTCTACCTTTTACTAAAGGCCTATATTATTTAATATATTTTCTCTGTTATTATGGGCTGATGTATCAAGTCGTGGATCAATTCCACCAACTGTTGAGAAAATCCCACGTGTAGCTGTAGATCAGGAGATTTGGAGTAAGATTATTTCAGCCCCCTGAGGAAATCAACTGCAATAGATTGAGCAAGAGAGAAAGACTAATCTGGCTCCTGAAACCCAATAGATTTCTGTTAACACAGACATGAGTGAACTATACAGTATACTGACTTAAACTGCGCGTATGGCACAGTATGTCACGGCATTGACAAGAAAAATGCCAGCATATTTGATGTACTGGTATTTTCCATCATAAAATTGCTCTTTGATTTGTTATTTTTCAAGGTGAAGCCATTGATCTGGATTGAGTCGGTCATTGAGCGCCACTCCCACAGTAGAGTTGAATACATGATAAAAGTAAGAACGACAGATAGAAATTTGAATTTCCCTTCATTCCCTTGAGTATTATTTCTTTCCCCACTAGTAACATGAAAGAAGGTATATTAATAAATATTAATAAACTAAGCTTAAAATCGTTTCCCTTGTTCTCAGGACTACTGTGCTGGACCAAGTTGTACAAAGGGTGGATAGCGCTATCCGAAAGATAATATTCAATGGATTTTATTGGATAACAGCATTAAGGATTTATCCACCACGAAGCTCTGTCCACCCAATGTACAACCGGGCCCATGAAGTTGTGAGTAGAAGATGCTGCCTTTACTTTAAAAGTATCTGCAAATGATTAGACCTTCGGTGCCTGACAGTTAAAATTTTTAAATATTTTTCTGATTTTCCAAGGCGAAAAGCCAGTTCAAGAGGCGCTCAACAGCAAACAATGTAGAGATTCTTATCCCAGTACCACAAGATGCTGATTCACCTAAATTCAAGGTAAAATGATGAATGTATGTTCCTGTTATGTTTTATATGAGAATCAAGGGTGTTGTAGCCGAACTTCTCTCGTATCTCACTTCTGGGGTCTCTGGGTTTTTCTCCAGGTTTTCCTCCCTTCTCAAATCCCCCGGGGGGGGGGGGGGGGACTCTGGAAAAAAAGTACCAGGGATGCTGGTCAGAAATTTTCAGAAAGACCCCTAAAAGATACTGGAAGTCTTTAGAAAAGGGCGTGGCTGAATGATTTTCTACCCCTTAAGAGATACCACGACAAATAATATTGAATTTTATATAAAAAGTGCCTAGGATAAGCCATACCGATGCATGCTTCTCTCTTTTTCCGACACCCTAAGAGATACCAGAAAATGCTGATTTTCAAAAATTCGCATTTAACGCCCTAAAAGATACCAAATCRCAAATTTTTACCCCTAAGAGATACAACGAGCATCCCTGGTACTTTTTTCCCAGAGTCCCCCCTTCCCCCGGGGGCTCAAACTCTACCATGTAAATTTGAATTTAGTTTTTGTCTTGTTAGCCATGCCCTGAATATTGGAGCCAAAGGTAAATACGAAGAACCAGTGGAGAGTTTAGTTGGTTTTTGATCTGTCTGTATTTATTGCTTTTCTTGTTTTCCAACAGACAACTGTAGGGAGCGCTAAATATGCACCCGAACAGAATCTTGTAATCTGGAATATCAAGTCCTTTCCTGTGAGTATGAAATGCTAATCATAGGTCTCTTATATTTACTTACAATATTTACATATTTATTTATATTTGTTTATTTATATAAACGGTCCTTTCTCCCACCTCTTTCTCTTTTACTCTGACGAAGGACTCTTTCTCTTTTACTCTGATGACGGACTAGCGTCCAAAACGTCAGTAAGTTTTTTCATCTTTTCACGGTGTATAATTTACCTTTTTATCATTACTGTTTCATTAGAAACACCGACGCAGCTCACACTAGTTTGTAGCTAGTTATCTCTTCTTATTACAATATTTACCTTTGTTATCAGCACTTGTCTATAAACCACACAACCTAATGTTTTTATCTTTAACATTCCTTGGTTCATTATTACCATAGTAACTTTGATTTTACTGAAATGTGCATCATCGTAAAATACAATCTAAGACTAATGACTGGTGTGAATTTCAAATCAATCCAACCAGGGAAAGTTTGTTAAAATAACAATCAAAATGTTTGGTATAAAAATTAAAAAAAACCTTGAAGGAGAGACCTTAAGTCATCACCGAGGTTAAAATGATACAAGGATCATACTTAATTTGAGTATTTTGTCTGTAGGGTGGAAAGGAGTTCTTGTTGAGGGCTCATTTCAATCTGCCAAGCGTTGAAGCAGGTAAGGAACCAGCAGACACAAATTTCCTTTAGTGACTAAAGTCATTTTAACCTCAAATTATGGATTCATTTTTGAAATTAGAGTTTATGCCGAAAAGATATTTGAAATTATGGCAAGATTCTTGGAACCAACATGATACCTTTGGTAACCTTGATGGAGTCACATCAAGAATTTTGACATAAATGCTAACTCTGTTTGAAAAGAAATTCCAAAAACCTTTACCCTTGTCATCTTACAAGACCTAACTTAGAGGGAGGAGAGGGGAAGGGGAGGGGGAGGGAAGGTTAGGGGTAACCCAGTACCTACCATCATAAAAATAACAACTGCGCTACATGTATATAAAAACCTCCCATTATTTACCACCTGATCTCCAAAACTAAATTCAAAAGTCAAATTGTAGAAAGGTGTTGACTGTCTGTTTTCATGTATGCTAAGCAATGTATTTGTATGTACACCTATTTCGAAAATCGTTGTTGCACCAAAAGCCTCAAGCAACAAGCCAAGACTGCAGAGAACGCCGGTACTTTTAGCTGTAATTAGTTTATTCATGGTGCATTTTCATTTATTGACTTCACAAATTGCTCCAAGCAAGGCTGCTTGAGATGATAATTAGTGTAGAGCTATAGCCACATGCATTAACCATGAATAAATCAATTATAATTAAAAGTACCAATGTTCTCTGGAGCCTTTGCTTGTTACTTGAGGCTCTTGGTGCGACAACGATTTTCGAAATAGGTGTACATTAGTCACTAAAGACACCCAGTATTGGGCTCTTCAACAGGTCTCCTCTTCTACTTTTATCCCCTCAAATACTTACATTAATTTTAACTATTGATATTCTTGTCGTTCTCCAGAGGAGAGTCAGGGAAGACCTCCCATTAAACTCAAGTTTGAGATTCCTTACTTTACTGTATCTGGAATCCAGGTGGGTTGGTTTATATATTTCTCATTCCTACACAGTATTGAAGACTCTTAAACTCCACTGTAAGTGAGCTTGGCATCACTACTGAGGTCGGTAAACAAAAGCAGAAATTAGAATAACAAAACAAGTAACTCCTGGATTCGATGCTAAGCCCCGGGGGGGGGGGTTACTCTACCAGAATTTGGGTAGGGGTGTTCTGCTGGGATTCTGAAAGAGGTACCCTGTTTATGACAAAAAACCCAAATTTGTAGACCCTGTTTATGACAAAAGATATAATTAATTGCACTGAGTTCCTGTTTCAATTATCATGTCATCTCGCATATCGTATATCGTTTTTTTATGACCATAATAACCAGTTTCAGTCAATACGAAAACAGAAACCCTGAATATGACAGGAAACTCAGGAAGAACTTGGAACTTGAGTGAAATTGCATACCCTGTTTATGACAAGAAGCTCGAAAAACCATACCCTGTTCAGCGGATCATCCCCGTATAGTCCATATATGGGAGTACCCCCCCCCCCCTCCCGGGTGCTAAGCCCAGATACACACTGGAGTTTTAAGAGTTTTCAATAGTAGTCTTGCTTATGGTATTGTGTCATTGCTCCATACTCACTCTTACAATGCTACATCAATATTTTCACAAGACAACAAACACATTGAACAAACAAACTCTGTTTGCATAATACCATAAAATCCTCATCATAATCCAACCCTCAAGTAACACTCCAGGGGTCAAAGGTCGATAGTCTTCGAGCCAATCCCAGTGCACTATATCACAGCTCAGCCAATCAGAATGCACAGACATGGTACCATCATAGTCACAGCACCTCTGTACCAAGGATATTTCACAGTCATGCAGCGGCTGCTCCAAGACATGTGACCCAACATGTCAACTCCTAACAGTAACCCTAGTAACCCATACCATAATATTCTCTTATTTGGTTTTACTTCTTCAGGTCAGATATTTGAAGATCATAGAAAAGAGTGGTTACCAGGCCCTGCCATGGGTGCGATATATTACTCAGAATGGAGGTAGGTCATGTGAATGGGGTTAAAACAGTATAGTAGGTGAGCCGAGGACAGCAATGACGAATTTCTGGAATGTGAAGCACTAGAATTGGGATAAACTAAGAAAGGCAAACATATAATTTCATTTTCACCTCAACTGATCTCTTTGCACTCAGTTGAGCATAAGACCTCAATACTAATTTCATTTTCATCTAACGCTTTTAACTCAGTTTATTTCAATTGCCGTATATCACTATGACGTCACACCTTGTTTATGAGGGTGACAGAATGGTGGAGAACAAAAACAATTTGGACTACCTTTACCCTGCAGCAGAATTRCCCTATATCACTATGAAGTCACACCTTGTTTATAAGGGTGACAAAATGATGAAGAACGAAAACAATATGGACTACCTTTACCCTGCAGCAGAATAAGCCTGAAGGGAGATGACGTTTTACCCCCGTCTCTAGACCATAATCCTTTTCACGCTGCTTTTGTTCTTTAATTATGACTGTTGTTCCTGTATTCTCTAAGGAATCAAAAATTTTAATATGAAAGAATTTTAAAAACTATTATGGTGTATAGAGTCGGGGTAAAACGTCATCTCGCTTCAGGCTTATTGATAGCCCTGATTTTTGGTTTTCAGACATTTCCTAAACCAGTATTTGGTTGCTATTAGAGTACAAACACTATAAGTGTGTAACATAAATACCACTAAATACTGTAAATTATGCTAATCCTATTGTTTTCTATTGTTTAATTAGCACTATTTACCACTAAATAGTGCAAAGTGTTGTACACTTTTAGTGTTTGTACTCTATTGCTTTACTAAGTTCTATAAAATACAAAATTTTCACAGTTTTCTTTGTGTTGTTGCCCTTTTATCCTCCTCCCACGACCATGATTATTAGCGTTAAAACAAGAGACTTTTTTCATGTGACGTCATAATGAAATAGGGTAGTTGGGCACCCTGTGGAAATATCGAACTTTTTATTTCTCACAAATTTTATTTCATTTTTCTTCTTCTCATAATATTATTTTCTTTCTAGATTATCAGTTGAGGACCACATAAACAAGCTACCCAGAACCCAGAATGTCTATCATTCATTACGTATACAAGTACCTACCTCTGATTGGCTTATTTCCTGCTTAATCACCCAATCATAATGAATAATAATAGAACTGCCAATAGCATGGAAAATATACGCGCGAAAAGAGAACAACCGTTGGCATTATAGTGTCATTTTACCACCACTACCAAAATGCTTTGCGAATTTTCTTTTTTATTCAAATTTGTATTCCCTCAATTGGTGCTAATTAACTGAACGAAAGAAAGTGTTCAAGGGATTCTGGTAGTGGCAGTAAATGATGCTATAATGCAAGTGACCTAATTTCTTAATGACGGAGGAAGAATGTATTATGCATGCTTGGAATATTACAATGGAGAAGTCAACTTTGGATAGCCGTCGGCTTTAATCCTCTCTCCTCTCCATCCTCCCTCCTTAAAACATTTATTTTATACACCGAATCGAAAAATGGCAATCAATTTGAATAACTATTGTTCTACACTGACTAGCGACTGACTAGCCTCCTATACATGTGAAAATGCTTTTATGTTTCCATGTGAACACGAGGCTAGTTAGTCGCTAGTCAGTGGAGAACAATAGTTATTCAAATTGATCGCCATATTTCGATTCGGTGTATTGCTACCTTAAAAGCATCACTCTCAAACAGAAAAATCCAGCTAGAAAACTAGAAAACATTTTGTTTTGTTGTATTTGTTTGTAAGAATGTTTCCATAAGCTTCCATCATTTTCTCGAGCATGCGTAGTATGTCTTCATCTCTAGGGTTGATTTTGATGCAAGAGTTTTTCTCGCTCATTACCTTAAATGAATCTGTGTCAAGAATGACCCGAATTCTATACAGGAAAAAAAAAAAAAAAGCCTAAAACATCATAATGTGTATTTTATATTTTCTATTTGGTTTAGTTCTACCTAGGAATAAATTTGAATTTACTTGAAAACACTGTAGACTAGGTTATCTAATGTCAAATATATTTTATGTTCTATAGAAGTTTGTTTGAGTACTTACTATTGTTTCCCAAGAGCCATCTTTACGAGAACCCTCTTTATGGTCTAAAGATAGACCGTCCAATCAGAAAGCAAGATTGATTCAAACGTTATCCAATAGTGTTTGAGCTATCCACCTCGGCCCGTGTCTCCCACAATCATTTTCACATTCACGTCTTATTGATACCCTGAACCAACCTCTGGGTTGATCTAAGTCAGGGTATGGCTAACTCACAGATTGAACCCTGAAACAACCTCTGGGCTGATCTAAGTCAGGGTATGGCTAACTCACAGATTGAACCCTGAAACAACCTCTGGGCTGATCTAAGTCAGGGTATGGCTAACTCACAGATCAAACCCTGAACAACCTCTGGGCTGATCTAAGTCAGGGCATGGCTAACTCACAGATAGAATTGCAATTTAGTGTCTCCGGTTTTGTGTAGGGAGAAAAAGCAGCTAAGAACCGGTAAAAACAAAAACTTCATGGTCTCTCTCTACTGACATGTAAAGCCGAGTCCAGGAATAGAACTCGAGACCCCAGAAGTGAGAGGCGATCAGAGGCATGCAGTATAGTAACTACACCATCCTTGAGGAGAGCACCGCAGAAATATGACGACACTACCCTTGATTGCCAAACGCGGCGTAATTTATAGACAACCGAACTAGAGATGTTAGTCATCGTCAACTTGTTTTCTGTAATGAATCGCAGGCTCTGTGTCTCTCTCGATTCCTGCATTCACGAACGGGCCACCGTGTCCTGCAGGTATTAGGTTATCCCAAGCTATCTCTGTATCCTTCATAAGATTTGAACCCTCGGCATTCATCTTCTTCCCCAAGGAAATTGACTTCAATGAGGCTTTACTAGCGTTCTTCATTTGGCGGTATCGGTAGATTAGACGTAAGTTGAGAGCCAGGGATAGAAGGAATACTATCACTAGTGAAATGATGATCCCAAGGCGGGCTTCACAGGAGGAAGGTGAGTTGCTGAGAGCTGCAAATGTGCCTGGTAAAGAGTAAAGAAAAAGATAGATCGACCGACCTCTTTACCCTGGGGTAGTGTTATCTTATTTAAGATCACGTGTCATTCTCTTGAGAATAAGATTCTTTGTTTGAGTTGTATCCATATTCATGTGTCTTGTCAGTGCGCAACTGTGGAACAAAGAAATGATACTCTAGGGAATGACACGTGGTATGAAATAAGAAAACATTATGTCTAAGGTAAAGAAGTCTATTATTATAAATCAGAAGTCGCGATTGGTGGCGTGTATCTTCTATTCCTAGAGAAGAATAGGGACTAAAATTTTGGTCGCCATGTTGGATGACATGACAAAAGAAACCAAGACCAAATCTTTTGTTCAAGTCAACCAACATGACGGCTATGACGTCACATGCACAAGGACAAAAGACATGGCCGCCATGTTGGATGACATGACAAAAGACACCAAAACCAAATCTTTTGTTCAAGTCAACCAACATGGCGGCTATGACGACACATACACAAGGTCAAAAGACATGGCCGCCATGTTGGATGACATGACAAAAGACACCAAAACCAAATCTATTGTTCCAGTCAACCAACATGGCGGCGATGACGTCACATGCACCTCAATAACTGTGTCAAACGAACATTTCTGGTCTTAGAACTTTTACAATGTAATTACCATTTGAATCTTTTTTTTTCGTGGTTACTACACTTGCGAGAATAAGGTATCAAGAGATATGGTTGCCATGCGGCTATGACGTCACGACAGCTCCTTACCTGCTGATTGGTTCGTTTCGTGGTGAAATGGAACAACCTCGATCTCAAACATTGCTGTGTCCACCGTATTGTTCACGTGACACACATACGTGCCATAATCACGTGGTTCATTTGGGGTGATTATCAACAAGTTACCGAATACTCGAACCATATTGTTTCCATGATTATCACTATCTGTAACTGCCACCTTATTTTTTGTCCATGTATAGGTTAAAGGCAGGATACTGTTTCCATAACAACCAATATTAATAGTATGGTATAGAATGGCGCGTATAGTTTTTCGTGTTCGTACTGTATCTATGGTTGGTCGATCTGTTGAAAGAGATAATAGAAAATGAAAGTCTATTATTTGGCAAGTAACCGTAACCGTTACGAAGTTGAGGAAAACTCTAGGTCGAGTGCACATTGCAGTAGTTTGTGGGGCTGTTATTGGCGAGAAAATAGACGCCATCTTGGAAATATGTTTTTTCGCTTCCGTAACAAATCAACATGTGACTTAAGCGTTGTGTGTGGTAATGTGGGCGAGCGAAAAGTGTGTCCAAGTGTGGAAGTGCTAAAACGACTAGACTTAATAAAGAGTTTTATCTTTTCATGGCCGCTATGCCTTTTGAATTATTTTAGGAATTAACGTTTGAATATGTTAAATCTTACCTAAAATTGTAAGATTGGTAGCAGACATTGCGAAGCCAAGATAGTTAGACAACACACATCGATACACGCCCTGGTCACGTGCTGATATTTGACTGATCACGAGGACATGACCATCAGCATGTATGGTACCACGTGGTATATGCGGGCTGCCATCTTTTGTCCACGTGATAGAAGGTACTGGATCACCAACGCCGTAGCATGACAGGACAGCGGTTTTCCCTCGGAGATATGGACTGTAGGAAGGTAGGGAGTTCAGAATTTTAGGTTTTTCTGCGGGTATAAAAAATAGAAAATAGGTTAATTGTGCCGAAATGGATAGCCTACGTCACATCCGGAATTTTCTTCGTAAATACCGGAAGTGACGCAGGCTACGAAAATGGACGGTTTACGGGTGCTTCGAGGGTTTTTCTTCAGGTGCTCCGGTTTTCTTCCCTTCGCAAAAATCAACTTCTAAATTCCAATTTAATCGTGGAGAGAGGACCACAGGTGTGTTAGCCACTGGCTATTCAAGTGCGAACCTCGTAAAAACAAGTCGATTAATAATGCTTTGCTCCTATAATTGGGCTACCTGTGCTCAACCTGTAACGGGAGGGAATTGGCAACTGATGATAACTAACTAGACATGTGACACAGGAGACTCAGATGAGACGAAAGGAAGACACTTGTGTACAAAGCGGTGGGTTCCAAATACCATTTACTTTATGCGTAACACTATTGTACGTTGTAAATGTAATGTGAGCCCTCATACAGGTATGTCATTTGTCGGCGGTCCTTTATTTCTGACATGCGTAATACTACTCACCGTGAACAATAACCACGGCGTTCCTGGAAGCTGATCCTTCTTTATTCGTTGCAACGCAACGATATTCCCCTTCGAAATTCTTATCATTTTCAACCGACTTCACCAACAAGCTACCATTTAACAACACTTCGCCAAAGATGATGTCATTTCCGTTAAGAGACCATGTGACCTTGGGTTTTGGGGAGCCTTTGGAGAGACAGTTAAGTAAGAGATGGTTGCCGACTGCGATAGTTTGAGTTTCTGGTTTGATTGTGATGATAGGTGGGGAGAATTCGACGTAGATCTCGACTCGTAGACACGGCCATAGTTGGTAACCCCGTGGATAGAAGCGAACGTATCGCGCCCAGACGGAAGTGACGTTTTGTCGTACAACTGAGACTCCATCTATGTTGCCAGCAAAAACCTTTCCATCAAAGGAAATACAAACATTAGGAAGCAAGAAAGATGGATGGATGGATGAGTTGGATAGATGGATGGGACGGCTGCTGAGGTGGATGGGTATGAGTGGAAGGACGACGGTATGGATAGGATGGAAGGATGGATGGAAGGAAGGATTGATAGAATGGATAGATGAATCCAGATATCCGGATAGCTAGGATGGATGGGATGTGTTGTGTTGTGTACAGGCATGGGATGTGTTGTATATAGGAATGGGATGTGTTGTATATAGACATGGGATGTGTTGTATATAGGCATGGGATGTGTTGTATATAGGCATAGGATGTGTTGTATATAGGCATGGGATGTGTTGTATATAGGCATGAGATGTGTTGTATATAGGCATGGGATGGATGGGAAAAGATAGAGCGATCCTAAAATGGATGGACGGGATGGATGGATGAATGAATGTACAAAAATGATGGTATGCATAGCAGTGATTCAACGGTATGAAAGCATGTATGTTATTCCCTTCACACCTTCAATCTATTGTCCTCATTATATTCCACCCATGTAACACCATCAAGTGATATCGATAACGTATAGTTAGTCGCCCACTCGTCTGTCCGATACTCCTTCCCCTGTGTCGCCACACCACACACATTATAATAATTTCCCATATCCACTTGTAGCCAATCATCGCCTCCCAAACTCGCTGGGCACCAGGCTCTAGACGTATACAATCGGCCATGTTTGGCCGTGAGGTAGTCGACTGATTCTCTGAAAGAACTTGATGACGACATCTTAATATCAGGAACCATTGTCCTATTGGCTACTCCTAATGGTCTAACATTCACACAACCTAGAAAATAATAAATCAAGAATTTATCCCACAATATCTAAAATACAGCCAATCAGAATGCAGGAAAGCCGTTATATATTCATTGGTACTTTATCGTTTCCTCCTATCAGGCATTGCGATATGCCTTGAATATATATGTCGGCGTGAATAAATGACTTGGTGTATTTGATAGTGTGGGACAAAAAAAAAATTTCCAATACTTTGCTCAGTTAAGAGCCTCCGGCACGATTTTATAAAAGATGGATTGGAATAAAAAGTTTGTTTAATTATAAAAAATGGCTAATTCAAGTCCAAAGTTTTTTCTCTATTTTTTTCGTCTTATTTTATTTATTTATTCTTTCGCCATTCCTTGCTTGTCATTTTTACTTCAGCTTCGCGTCATTGTCTATCTATCTTACTTTTTCTTTATATTTTTCCTTCATTCTTTCAAGCTTTCTTTCTGTTTCAAGCTGTCTCGCTTGATCCCTAGGACATATATATGGTTCACTACGCATTACAGAACTTAATCTTCATCTCCATCAGAACTCTAATTTACTCTAGCGGAAGCTCAGTCGAAACCAGAGTCTTACTTATCAAATCTATAATAGACAAATAGTCTTATATTTTGACTCTTTGTCAAAGAAACTAGCTGTAATAATTGATCATTTCGTTATTTTAAAAGTCCTAAAAGGTAATAGCTTTTGGATTAATTTCGAGTGACAATATGAATAAAAAACGTGTTTAATTCACAACATAGTAGACGCTTCAATTCTGAACCAAAACAAGTCTAAAGGCCTCAAAGCATTGCATGAATTCATTCACAAACTAAAACCAACATAAAAAATCTTTCATTGTAAATGAGGTACGCTTGATTTTCGCCGTATTTTCTGTTTGCAATTTTTACATGAACATTTTTTGATTAAAATTTTTTAAAAATTAGAATTCCAAATAAATAAATATAAAGCAATATCCGTATCGCTGAATGCCTTGAATACGAACACAAAACAAACGTTCTATGATTTTCCGCATTACAATCTTTTACATTTTCGCGAAAACAAACATACAATCAAACACAATAGAAGAAAAACCGAAAGGTAAATTCAAATAAGTTTTGTATTCAAGATTCTTGATTTAGACGGATTTCGAGTTCGATTCAAACAAAATGAAATGTCAAAGCTAAAGATCTATCGCATTAATTTTTAAATCTTAAAAAATGTCTTACCTTTAACGTGTGATAAAGAAAGAAATTCCAGCAGTAAAGCACCTATAATGGTGTATTTCATGTCGATTCTATATTATAACGGACATAAGTCTGTCTTTCTCGGTTACACCAAGCAATATCTGCTGTCAGTTTGACGTCTTGACTTCACGGTCGTTCTCCTGCTACGCACCAAATCATGCATCTTAGCTTCTTGATGAATAATTTATGTTTTGGTTTGAATAGGACGTTTGTCAATCAAAGGGGAGTTGCATTTGAGGAGCTTAAAATGGTTAGGTTAGAGGGCATTTGTATACGACATGTTATCTTTGAAATGAGACCAAGCTACGTTCCATCGGGTTGGAAACTCGACGTACAAGTCATTGATTCTTTCTTTCTCTCTTTCTTTCTTTCCTTCTTTCTTTCTTTCTTTCTTTCATTCATTCATTCTTCATTCATTTATTCATTCATTC